TTTCTTCTCTGATTACAAATTTGTTCTGTGTGGAAAATACAAAAAAAGTATAAAAGAAATAAACACTTTCAACATCTTGAATATTTTCTACTAGGCTTCTTTTTGTGTACAGAAATTTAAAATCCTGTGGTTTTTTTCTGAACACAATATTCAATTATCTTTTGTTATTAAAGTAACTCCCACTGTTTTATTAATCCATTGCAGAATATGCTAAAAAAAAATCATGTGTAATCACCATCCAGAGACAATTTTAGTTTTGTTGTTTATCTTCAATGCATGTTTTCTTTTGAGTTTTGGTTTTTTGAGACAGGGTCTTGCTATGTAGTTCAGGCTGGCCTTCAACTTGCAGCAATCCTCTTGCCTCAACCTCCTGAGTGTTACAGGTGTGCACCACCATAGCCAGGTTAGGCATACATTTTTGTTTGTTTGTTTTTTTGGTACCAGGGATCGAACTCGGGTCCTTGCGCTTGCGCAACAGGCAGCGAAACCACTGAGCTAAATCCCCAGCCCCTAGGCATACATTTTGGAAAAAATAGTGATACTCCTTTATTTGGGTACAACAGTTTGACTGATAAGCATCTTAGAATGGATATTAATGCTGCTTCCAATCAGTTGTACTGTCATACACACTCTTTATAATGATGTTTTTATGTTGTGCTTTCCTTTGAAAATTATGAACTTTCTTCAACTTCCACTCAACTAGAAAAAGCTCAACTAGAGACCGAGAGAAAAGTAGTGCATAACTTTACCCCAAGTCTCCATCTCCATTTAAAATACAATCGTTGAGCCGGGGATTTAGGGATTTAGCTCCGTGGTTCTGCCACCTGCCTTGCAAGCTCAAGGTCCAGAGTTCAATCCCCGGTACTAAAAAATAAATAAATAAATAAAATATACAATTGTTTTCCAAATTGAAGAAAGTTTTTGTGTAGAGAGATGGGGTGACAAAACAATGCTAAACTGCCTAGCTATCTATTTTAAAATATAATTTAAATTTCATTAAGTAAAGGAGTGATTGACTCTTTAAACTTCTGAAGGATGAAATCCAGGGCTGAATTTTCCATGAGTCTGAGCAACAATTTAAAATAACTTCTCAACTCTAAATCTGCGTTGGCAGAGCCAAATGACATTCTACTTTCGAAGCAACATCAAAGGAAGAATATAAAATATTATAGTGGGACAGTAATAAAGGTTCAAAAACAACCAAAAGGGCTGGTGTTGTAGTGGTTCAGTTGATAGAGCACTTGCCTTGCACACAAGGTACTGGGTTGGATCCCCAGCACCACAAACAACAACAACAACAACAACAAAAACAAAATGCTAAAACAAATCAACTTGTCCTCAGACTCCATCTTCCAAAACATTCCAGAAATACCTTTGTCTAGTGAGGGTTGGCAGAATCAAGAAGGCAGGAAGGGTGTGGTCCAGCCACTTACACTAACATTGTTTTTCCTTCAAAGGTCAGGCCTGAGGACCTGGTGCAGATGCCTTTTTAAAATTTCTCTGTAACCCTTTGAATACGAATGACTAATCAAAAGGGAATCCATATGTGGAAAGGGGAAAAAAGCCATCCCTCTGGGTCCTACCTTAATAGAAAAAGACTGTCAGTATGCCCTTGGAAAATACTTTTTGTTTTTTTGAGACGGGGGTCTCACTATGTAGTTCAGGCTGTCCTTGAACTCCCAATGTAGCCCGGGCTACTGCCTGAGCCTCCCTAGTGCTGGGATTACAGGCATGCATTATTACAATTTATAAAGTATCTCCACCACCATCACCATTTGGTAACAACTTCATACAGCAGAAAGGGTATGTATTATCCTAATTTTGTAAATGAAAAAACTGAGGATCAGAAATTAAATATTTTGTCCCAAGTTACATAGCTAGCAAGCAATGCAATAAGACTGCAAACCCAGGATTCTCCTAGCCTAATGATCATTCCAGGAGGCCACACTATGTAAACCTGGAAAGGCTTTGGAGGAGATGGACATTTTGAGTATCCTTTGAAAGGGGACGGAACTCCTTCCAGTCCGGACTCTGGCTAGCACCAGAGCAAGGGAATTATAAAAGGGAGATTCACAAGCATCTGTCTCAGACTCCAGGGTAGGCAATGTGTTGGAACTAAACAGTTCCACTATGAAGGTGAGGTAAGGAGAGAACCTCTGCCTGAGCTTACAAGTAAACAGCATTAAATCTTATCAAGAATTTCAAGGCTGGGGGCATACCTCCAGGAGAACTAGGACTGCGTGCCTAGTATTCCCGAGGCCCAGGGTCCCATCCCCAGCACTGTAAAAACAAAATCCATAAATGAGGAAAGTGAGCTTCTAGAGTAAAGTGACTTTCTGAGGAGAGGGCACTTACTGAGTTTTCCCTCAAAATCTGAGTTGGTTTCATTATTCCCTCATTTCATTAATAGTAATGCAGCTAGATACTTGAACAGTTGCTGTCTTTGATCTCCAGTTTGGGTAGGAAATTAACTTCTTCCTGCTTCAGCAGTGGTCTCTGCTTTATGCTGAGGCCATCAAGGCCTCTTCAGGAGGGAGTCACAGTAGGGCTTATAGAGAACACTGTTAAGTCCAGGCCCTTTGATGTTCCAGTAATCCCACATTTCCCACTGTTATGCATGCAGTCAACACACTAATCTTCCTTACTTAGGTCTACAGGAAGCAACCCCCACAAATGGCAACCACAACCAAGAGCAAACTATTAAGCAACATCACACAGTTCACTTCTCAATGTCTGATTCACTTAGAACAAGTGAGAAGTGTAAAAATGGATCAGCACAAAGTGACAGAGTAAGACAGAGCTCAGGGACTTGGATCAGCCAGAGTTGTTAGCTGGGCTCTCAGATGTGCCATTAAACTAGAAGTGTGCAAAAAAAAAAAAAAAAAAATAGGGCCAGGGATATAGTTCAGTGGTACAGCACCTGTTTGGCAAGTGCGAGGCCCTGAATTCGATTACCAATACCAAAAAAAAAAGAAGTGTCCCACACTCTGATCATCAATGAGAAGAGCCTCCAAAGATGCTTCCATCACTGCTGCAAGGCACACCACAGCTGGGGCCTCCTGTGCTGAACCTGGGATCTATTAGGAAATGCCATATGCTGAACTCCAGACAGGCAAATGCCACACTCAAGGGAAGTGCTGCTACACTGAGGTGGGAGCTTGAGGCCAGCATGGGCAACAAACACTCTAGTCATGGGAAGACTTTAGACTAATCCCCAGTGCCAATGGGCTGTAAGGCTTGACTTTGTGAATCTGAGGACATGACTGCATGCATCGGAGTCATACTTTCTCAAGTGGTCAGAGTTCAAAGCTTGTGGCACCCTCTCACACATTCACAGTAACCACCAGCATTGCTTCTCAGATGCAAGTCCCGATTAGGGCTCATGTAAGTTCTTCTGGTGGAAGACAGCTTAGGCCCAGAGTTGGCTCCCGGCCAGCCCAACTCTTAAAAGAGGCATGTTGGCCAGTATAAATTACTCTAGAATAAAAATTAGAAAACAAGGATTCTGCTCCCCAGGCTGCTTCTGACCAGCTGCATTAAACCAAGCAAGGAAATCTCCTTGTATGAGCTCAGATTCCTTATTTATAAAACAACAAGGTATATCTACACTATCATGGGCCCTTTAAGAACTTCAAATATTCAGGCTGGGGATTTAGCTCAGTGGCATCGGGTCTGCCTTGCATGAGAAAGGTCCTGAGTTCAATCCCCGGTACCGGAAAAAAAAAAAACCACAACTCCAAAACTTCAATGTTTGGGCCAGGGATTTAGCTCAGTGGTTCCGGCACCTGCCTTGTAAGTGCAAGGTCCTGAGTTCAATCCCCAGTACCAATAAAAAAAATGTACATTGCCTAACTTTCAAAAAAAATATTTTTTTTTTGGTAGGAGTGCTGGGAATCAAAACCCAGAACCTTATACATGCTAGACGAGTGCTCTACCACTTTTACCCTACCCCCAGCCCAACTTTCAGAAAAATGTTAAATTCAAAACAAAAGTAAAGAATAAAAAGGAAGAAATGAAAGCAGGAGAGACACTTCAACTTGAAACTCTCTTTGGTCTTAAGAATAGCAAAGTAATGAGTTCAGACAGTTTAGGGGGAATAGAAAATTACAAACTGCAAAACAGGAAATCCAAACTTGGCTGGCTGTCAAAAAGCTATGAGGTGGTAAAAATTTAAATCTATTTTACTTTTTAGTTTCTTAAAACTAACAGAGCTGCCAAACTCATGAATTGATACCTGCTACTAATGCACAAAAGCACTGCCCCTGGCTGGGCTTTTTAATCATTCTAGGTTACTTTAGTCCTGTTCTGAGGGTGTGATGTCTCCATCTCAGCAGCATTCACTCCCTGGTCGCTATAGCTGATAGTCATCCTCCACATGCTCACCACTGTAACCTATTTTTCTTAAGAGACAGGATCTCACTGTGTTGTCCAGATTAACATTTAACTCCTGGTCTCAAGCGATCCTCCCACCTCAGTCTCTAGGGTAGCTGGGGTTACAGGTGAGTGGCCATCATTTTTAAACAGTGGTCAAAGGTGGCCCTACTTGTATCTCTAAGTATAACCACTGTACCTCTCTAAATGACATATCAGCTCCTGAACTTGCAGGAACCCCAAGATAAACCTGTTTATTCCTCTAGTGCATCACCTAATGGCACTCAAATGGTTACTGAATGATTAAGAAATGTACTTACCAGTCTCTTCAGGGATCTCAAACTACAAGGCAGGGTTTATACATCCAACCTAAGTTCAGACACCAAAATCTTTGTTTTGTTTTGCTTTTTGAGACAGGGTCTCGCTATGCAGTTCAGGCTGACCTTGAACTCATTATGTAGTCAAGGCTGGCCTCAAACTCACATCGATCCTCTTGCCTCAGCCTTCTGAATCCTGGGATTACAGGTGTGAACCAGCATGCCCGGCTGACAAAATCATTTTTAAAACGGCATTATTATCTAGACACAGAATAGTTTATAGAAATGAATTTTATCAACACCAGAGCCAGATTTCCATAGAAAGCAGAAAAATATTTTATTCCAAATGATGGCAGATGTAAGAAATTCATCCTGAAAATATAGCTTGGTGTAAATCTGCTGGGACAGATCTTTCTGAGCACAATCTCCAACTGACTGCCCCACTGGAGTCTTATTTGTCTTGCGGCAGTTTCTCAACACACTGCTGATTCCTATGTTGTGAGCTGGGAGGAGCTATCTTCAAATCCACAGATGCCAAGGCAAGAGTAACAGAGTTCTCAGAAAAACAGCACCTTCTCCCTCAGAGGAGTGCATGTACATTTTGTAGAGTTAGCACAGCTTAGGTTAAGTAGGCCCATCTTTCATCAAAGTGTAAAAAACGATGAAGGAAAAATTACTGCATTGTAGGAAAAGATCTTCAAAGATGGTGTGAACTTAGTTGAAGGCAGCTGATGCCCAAAATAGGCAAGTCAAAGAAGGCGGTCTGGGTTCAGAGGTGCTTTTGGATCTAGAAGAAATTTTCTTCGTGACCTGCAAAACAGAATCATTCCAATAACTGGTCCTCAAACCTTCTGAAGGGGAGCAAAAACATAACATCAAGAAAGTCAACCAGGACAATACTTTCAAATAAGTGGGTGCACAATCAATGTCTAAACAAAGAACTCTAACAAAGAACTCAATATGGGATGGGGCAAAAGGTTTGATTACAAGGATGTTGCTGAGCTGTCACAGTGCGTGATTCAACAGCCTGTGTTACAGCCAGAAGGAAGTATGAAGGTGCTAACACGGATGGTGCTGGAACTGAGAGTGCCCTGGGGTTACCAGTCACCCTTCACAGCAGCACTGTGAGCACAGGTGCCCTGCAGTCTCCTCTCAGCTCCCTGTCTGCCCTCGGGCTGCACTCTAGGTTGTTCCCAATGCTGGCTACCACAAGTGTAGGTGACAAATGACAATTTTTTTTTTTGAGGTACCGAGGATTGAAAGGAAAAGGGAAAGGAAAAAAGAAAACAAAAAAAGAAGAAAAAAATGTAAGTTACAGACTTTTTTTACCATGCACTAGGAGACTGTCAGGCCAAGGAGTGGGAATTAGAATGACTTGTCTGAAAACCTCATAAAACCTTTTGCTCTGGTCTAATGATCATTTTCTTTCTTTTTTCTATTCTCTTTTCTCTTTTCTCCTCCTTTTGTCCCTTCCTCCCTCCCTATCTCCTTCTTCCTTCCTTCTGAACTCCCTCCATTCCTTCAACTTGAACTCAGGGATGTTTTAGCACTGACTTACATTATCAGCCCCCTTTTTATTATTTTGAGAAATGGTCTCACTAACTTGCTAAGATGGGACTTGAACTTGTGATCCTCCTGCCTCAGACTCCCAAAATGCCAAGATTGTAAGTGTGCACCACTGCACCTGCTCTAATGATCATTTTCTGTTCTCCTTAAGGCAGTAAAAGTCCTTCCATTCCAGGTAGATTAAAAACTTTACCTTGAATACTACAGTAGTGAATGTGGTTATTTTATGTGTTAACTTTCTATATAGAACATACAGATTAGACTTCTTCATTGTTTAGGTTCATTTGTTTGTTTTGTTTTTCTGAGACAGGGTTTCACTGTGTAGTTCAGGGTGACCTTGAACTTACTATGTAGTACAGGCTAGTATCAAGCTTTCAACAATCCTCTTCCACAGCCTCCTGAGTGTTGGGATTACAGGTGTGCACCCCTATGCCCAGCTCCATTTAGGCCTTTTCTGACAAACAATCACCAAGGAGAAAAGCAGGGCTTTCACTTTTGAAAAATTACACACAAATGAGGGATAATTTTCACTCAATCTCAATGAAACCAGTTTGAAATAAATGTGAGTGAGCATTATGTTAAATATATGGTCTTGAGGTTTGATTTTGGAGTAAATGAAGGAAGTGTATCACCATCTCATTGACAGTACATAGCTATTTGGGAGTGGTGCTAAGGAATTCACAGAGTCTATGTTTTAGGTTTCCAAAATAAAGCAGCCACTGAGGTTACTTTTAGATAAAACTGTGAATAACTTAAAAATATTAAGGTCAGAGCCAAGTGTGGTGGTACATGCCTAAAATCCCAGCACTTTAAGTGTCTGAGGCAGAAGGATCACAAACTCAAGTTCAGTCTGGGAAATTCAGCGAGATTCTATCTAAAAAAAAAAATTACTTTTTAAAAAAAGTCTGGAATGTAGCTCAGTATGAAGGCCTTTGGTTCAATCCCAAAGACCAGCCTGGTCTATACAGTGAGATCCTGCCTCAAAAAGAACGAACAAACAAACAAATATCTTCAGGAAAGGGTATGTGAATGTCATTCTTTTTGTTTTTGTTCCCCCTCCCTCATTACTAGGGATTGAACACTGGGCCTTTACACTGAGCTACATCCACTGTTCCTTTTTAATTTTTTGAGACAGGTTCTCCCAAGGTCATTAAATTACTGGAGCGGGGCTTGAACTTGCAATTCTCCTGCTTCAACCTCCCAGAGTGCTGGGATCACAGATGTACACGCTACCACACCCAGGATCTTATTTTTTTTCTTGTGGTATTGAGAATCAAACTCAAGGCCTCCCATATGCTAGGCAGGCACTCTACTAGAGGTTTTTTGTTGTTGTTGTTGTTTTGACAAGGTCTCGATGTGTAGTTCAGACTGGCCTTGCACTCACTATGTAGCCCAGTCTGGCCTTGAACTTGCAGGGATCCTGCTTCAGTCTCCCCAGTGCTGGGACTATAGGTGTGCACCACCACACCCAGCCACCTGAGTATATTTCTTAAGGGACATACAGGATAGGGTTAATTTTTATCTTTATTTTTTCATTTCAGATAAATATGAAAAATAATTTCTTCCTTACTATGATGTGTAAGGTATATTTTATAGAAAGTAAACTACAATAGGTGAGCAAACTGAAGGCACATGTATTTAAAATATTATGGAGGTGGATGTGGTGATGCACTCCTATAATCCCAGCACTCAGGAAGCTCAGGCAGGCCTGGGCTACATAGGGAGACCCTTTGAAGGCAACCGTACCAAATGAATGGCAAAAACTGGAGAGCTAAATACATCTAAGGATAAAAGAAATCACTTAAAATAAGATGGCCCTGAAAGGAAGTACAAGCACTTGGCTAGGTGGCGAAAGAGAAAACATCAGAGACCATTAAGAGAATGGGTGTGCTGAGGCCAGAAAGCACAAAGAATCCACACTGGATGGCATTTACTAACTGCTTTCTAAATTAATGAATGCAGTAGGCTAGTGAGGCAGGAGATGCTAAGTAAAGCTAATTAGGTCAAGAACTTGTAAATGGCAAGGCTAGAAGCACCAGTTCATGTAGGAGGCAGCGAAAAGAAAGGATGAAAAGTGGTGGTGGTTTGCGGGCAGCCTGGGAAGGTGCTACTGGCTGAGTCAGAGAGCTAGACATAACCTGCAGATTAAATGTTTCTATATTTTGTGGCTCCTGGGACCTTTGGTGACCCTAACAAAAGCTGTGTACTTGTGTTTTATTTGCATTTCACGGGGTAGGCAGCCACTAAATTCAGAGACGTTGGGTTAAAACACAACCCCATTTTAGCCCAGTAAGAACTATCAAAAGTTTTGGGGCAAGCAGCAATTGGTCTCAGGAAGTGCAGCATCAGGAAGGTGGACAGGGTGGTGCTCTGGAGATGGACAACTGCAGAGATAGGGATGCCAGGTGAGGGCTGGCATCAGGGCCTAGTGCTGCAGTGATCTGGGCCAGAAATTAGGGTACCTGGAGAAGGAAGAAAAGGAAGGCCAGACACAGACTAATAAGAGCAGAGACTAACAACAGGTTCTGACCCTAAGTGACAGAGCAAACTATGCCATCGGGAACTGAAACGGAGACATGGCTGAATCTGAAAAGGGAGCAGAATATCCAGGCGGAGAGGTCAGACTGAAAAAAACACTTTGTGGTGAGGGGTATCTTGAATACACAGGCACCTCACTGCCAATATCCTCTTTTCCTCTCTTGTCCTAGGCTTTATAATAAAATAGAGTATCTGCCCTTTAGGATTATGGTAAGCCATACCACAATGGCAAGTCTTGGACAGAAGTCAGATGTTGTGACATGTGCCTGTCATCCCCAGCTACTCAGGAGGCTGAGGTGGGAGTTATCACTTGGGCCCAGAAGTTCAACCCAGCCTAGGAAATAGGGAGAGCTCATCTCATAAACAAAGCAAAGTAGCAAAGTTTCAGGCCAGCGTGGGCCACACAGTAAGTTTGAGGCCAGCCTGAACTTCAGAGCAACACCACGTCTCAGAAACAAAACCAGACCAAAACAACAATAAAACAAAACAACACAAAACCCAAAAACCATGAAAACCTTTTAGGATACTGACCTGAAGCCAAATCCACTCCTCAGGGGATTCCACACAGCATCACATCCCACAGCTGTAATACAGTGCACGAGTGCAAGGCTGCACACCCACAGCGCCCACAGCCTCGATGCAACACTTCATAGATATCTTCGGAAGCCCCACTTAGCAATCAAGAAAAAGCACACAAGGCTGGCTCCAGGAAGAGATGGAGCGAGCACTGGACAAGATTTCTGGCCAATAAACAATGAGTGTAACTCAGCCTCTCATCAATAACTATGGTTCAGTTCTTCAATACCGGAGAGAAAACCATGACAATTAAAGTGAATAAAGTAGCAAAGAATCGGGGGGTGTTTAACAGTATGCTGTTCAGAGGTTCAATTTCATCTATATAAAATTATTCTTGGGATAGGGGTGGGAATCAGGGACAGAGCACTTGCCTAGCACATGCAAAGTCCTGGGTTTAATCCCTGGTACCACAAAGGAAAAAAAAATTCTAAAGCTTTCATGACTGAGCCTTATTCTTCTCTACTGAATATGTCTACCTTACATTTACTTTCCAAATTGGCCTCTTAAAGAAATCATGTACAGCTGGGCAAAGGAGGCCTTGGGTTCAAACAATACTACAAACAAAACACAAAAGTGAAATAATCATGTACAAAATAAAATTATTTTTCCTTATCAGGTAAGGACAGGCCTAAATCTGTTTTCTGAACTCCTGTATCATCTTACTGTTACATAAAATTCAAAGTTCAAAAGGAAAATAGAGCTCAATCTTTTGATTTTACCACAAAGCAAAGTGAGATACTATCTTCAGAATTCTGTCTGTTTTAATCCTAGGCACAGATGAGCTCAATCTCTCTCAGTCTCACTCTCCCCCCACCCCTTTTTGAAGACAGGGTCTCATTATGTTATCCAAGCTGGTTTTAAACTCAGGTTCAACTGATCCTTCCTCAGTCTCCAGAGTAGCAGGGGCTGTAGGCACACAGGCCACAAACCTAGATCTCTTGATGTGCTAACTCCAAAGTTCTAGAGTTATGGGCCATGTAATTATGTTCAGTGGTGAGGTGGTCTGACATGATGTTCATCATCAGGGCCCCCTGGAAGTGCCTCCCACTTCTTGGTATTTTGTTTTTAAAGGAATGACCATTAATACAGGGTTTCAAGCATCCCAGAGTTATGCTGCAGACCCGAGTGCAAATGTTAGGAATATGTCAGTCAGTCAGGTCAACAGGAACATAAGACTGAAAAAGTGGACCCATGTAACCTTGTCAGATTCACCCAGTCAGTGTTATTCAGTGTCAAAGGGCTCAATTCTCTACTGAAGGAAAGGAAATGAAGCTCAGGGAAATGAAGTGAAAGGCAATGCCAGAACCAGATCCAACAGGACTGAAGTTCCCAGCTTCAGACCTCATCAACCTCACCTAACATTCATTATACTATAGTTCAAAAACAAGAGAACTTGATGAAAAATGTAGGTTAAAAAAATCATGTATGTCAGTGGCACCGCGCCTGCCTGACACGTGCAAGGTCCTGAGTTCAATTCAGCGTACCAAAAAAATATATATATATATGTCAGCCAGGCATGGTGGTGCACACCTGTAATCCCAGCATTCGGGAGGCTGAAGCAGAAGAATCACTGTGAGTTCAAGATCAGCCTGGACTACACAGTTAGTCCAAGTTAGTCCAATTACCTAGTGAGACCCTATCAAAAAAAATTATATATTTAAAAAAATATATATATATTGTATATAAAAGACAAAATTCTAATAGCACGGGGGCACCGACTACCTGCCTATTAGATTGGTAAAATCCCAGCTATGAAAAATGGGTACTATCATACACTGATGATGGGAATGTAAAAATGGTATAATCTCTATGAAGGAGAATGCAGCTATCTCTAGAAAAACAGTATATGTTTGCAACCTGGAGATTTTATTTTTCAAGGAATCTACCCCACAGGTCACATGCAAAAATACCAAATGTCATATGCACAGAAGGTGGTGCGGTTGCATCAGTAACAGCAAAATATTGGAAACAAACCATGAAATTATGATACACATATATATTGGTTTTCTGAGTCAGGGATTTAGCTCAGTGGTTTCACTGCCTGCTGCACAAGTGCAAGGACCCCAGTTCGATCCCCAGTACCAAAAAGCAAACAAACAAACAAACAAAATATATTGGTTTTCCTCTGAAGTTACTGGCTCAAAACTCCCTACCCAAGACAGGCCATACAAAGTAGAAATTCTCTGCTCCAAGGTGGGTCACAGAAAATTCTAATCTTCCCTGTCTTTTTGTCTTGGAGCTGGCCAGAAATGAAATTCTCCAGGGCCGGGGATGTAACTCAATGGTGCCACACTTGCCTCACAAGCCCAAGGTCCTGAGTTCGATCCCCAGTACTGAGAAGGAAAAAAAAAAAAGACATAAGCAAACAGGCCTTGCTAGATGCCCTCACCCTATCAGCATTAGATAAGCAATGAAATATCCATAAAATTCCAAAAGGACAGGGTTTGGCAAGATGGCCAATGTATGGAGGTTTTCAGATGGTGGTGGTCCCTTCTGCCACATGCCTAGCCCTACCCATATCTTTGTATCCTCTGTAAAATCTTTTATAAGAGATCAGTAAAATGCAATATGTATATGTACCAATTTCCCAGGAAGAATGTATTTATTATGCAATCTGAACATATACTAATAAGAAAACTTTCTTTTAAAAAACCAGTAAACTGTTTCCTGAAATTCTGTAGTCACTCAAATCCAACATGAGGAAGGGGCTATGGGGAAGCCTGGTTCATACCAGAAGTCGGTCAAAAGTGTAAGCAAAACAACCTGGGGCTTGTAACTGGCAGCCCTCAACCTGTGGGAACTGAAACTATTTCCAGGTAGGTATTATCAGTATCCACAAAGCCACAGAATTGCTTGCTGGCTTGATGTGTGGGGAAACCTTTTGCCCCACATGTGCTATAAGAAGTGAACTGTATTGTGAGAGTGTAGGGGGAGAAACTGTCTGAGTTGTAGTTGGTTTTTCCTTTTTCAGACAACCCAAAGGATATCAATGGCTTTGGGAGTTAAGGAAGATGTCTATACACTGATAAGCACCAATTGCCAGCATACATTATTTGGTGAATAAAATAAGGTACTGGTTCCGGCGCCTGCCTTGCAAGCTCAAGATCCCGAGTTCGATCCCCGGTACCAAAATAAAATAAAATAAAATAAAATAAGGTAAAGAATAGTATATATGATATCTTTTCTGTGACAGCAGCGTACATGGGTACGTATATAAATAGATGAATGTATTTATTTAATCTTTGTAAAATGATAAGGCTTCTCCACACATATCTTACTTATACTCAAACTCTATATTCAAAAGAACAGAAAATAAAATTAATATAAATTAAATATTAAATGCAACAATTTAACTGTATATCCAATTGATGATATAACCAACAAAGAAAATAAATTTTTTTTTTTTGAGACAGGATCTTGCTTTGTAGTTCAGGCTACCCTTCAACTCACTGTGTAGCCCAGGCTAGCCTCCAACTCATGGTGATTCTCCTGCCTCAGCCTCCTGAGTGGTGTGATTAAAGGTGTGAACCATCATTCCTGGCTAGAACATAATTATTTCAAGTGGTCTCAAAAAACAGCATTTTGCAACTCCCCATGATGAATGTAATCATTCTATACTACAAACATGTACTAATAAAAATTTGAAAAGTGAAAAAAACCCCAGCATTTTGATCTTTATTTATTCTAAGGACAAAGCAGTAAAGAAATCTTAAACTATATTTGATAAACTTATAATTATTAGTTATAGTGGTGTTATTTTGAAAGTACAGCATTTTATATATATTATAGAATAATGAAAGTTATTTGCTGTCATTAGGAACCAAGATTCTCAGCAAATATGAATGATATGCAAGTATAAAACCAATGCAGTAAAACCCTTACAATGTTAAATGAGTTAGAAACACTAATGTGAATTCATGATTTAAAAAAAAAAATGAAGTATGATAAAAAATTACAGCGAGTATCACTTATGTTGCAATCCTTCTGCCTCAGCCTCCTGAGGGATTTACAAACTGGGATTTATAAGCATGTACCACCATACCTAGCTGAGATTTTTCTAGAAGGAAATTTAGAAAGCAACTGGAGAAACAGCTGAATGCAAGTCTGGGACAGAAAACATATAAGAGGAGTCTGGGACATCTTGATGTTGCCAGAAACTATAGGAACTGACAAAAGCTAACAACTAAATGAGATACACAGAAGCCAGTCTAAATAAGCTCCCATTGTCCAAAGAAAGAATAACTTCATATAAAACAGATAACAAATGTAATTAATTAAAATTAAAAAGAAAAGTTCATTGGATATCCTCAAAGTAACCTGGGCTCCAAGATCTCACTTTGAAAATAAAAAGAATTAAATCTGTATCCTGCTTTTCCCACATGATCTGTATTTCAAGGTTATTAAATAATCCTAGTTCATGCTGGAAAGTTGATCTTTATAGGAATGTTTCAGTTAATCAAATATGGAAGAAATGCTCAAACTACAAAATCATCAATTTTGCAATTTCTACTGAAATGATTCAGACTATGATCATGCATGGATAAAATCACTGGATGAAGGCTGACAAGAAAACTTTACCACTGAAGGGACCAGGCTGTGCTGTCATTACCTGAACCGAGTGATCATCTTAGCATCAGAAAAATAGAAGAGCCAGCCACAGCATCTCCTGATGTGAGGCAATATGTGATTCATGTACCACCACAGAAGCACCCTTGCCAACAAAGTTGAACCTAAATCTATTTAAGCATGTGGCAGTAACTACCATTTAATCAAATAACAATGATAGAGCAGCAAATAAACAAGTTTCCTCTCAGCCAGCGAACAAACTTTCTACTCTACCAGTGTTTACTTCTCTGATTCTCAGAACCAAATAAAAGCTGCAACTTTAAGACCAGCTTTCAAAAGCCACCCTCTCCATCCAAAGCATTCAGAAACATTCTTAATTTCAAATTTGTTAGCCATTTCTCATAGGTGATGGATCTTGCAACACCAAGTACAAACTGTCACTTTGCTGATCTGTCTGAAAGCCTGCATCCAAGCTTAACTTTGCAAATCAAACTGTATTTCTTTTAAAAGGCAGGGTTATAGTAGAATTGAAAAACCTCTTATGAATAAATCCCTAAGATTGAGAATGGCTTAAATTCTAACATTCTGCTCCTCAGGTCACATTTTGCTTTCAGCAGCTGGCTCTTGCATTGTATTAAAATGGTCATGAAATTCTGAGAAAAAGTCCAAGTAAACTCTAGCTTACTGACTGACAATACTAATATTAAAGTCAAGTGTATAGTCACCTCAATGACTGGGCACTGTGGAGTATGTCTTCTTCCTCAAGGCCAATGATACTTCAGATACCAGATGGTTTCATTTTTTAACTGTGGTCCAAAGAGAGGGTTGAGTTGGGCCAGAATTGCAATCAACCAACTAAAAAATAACAACAAAAAAAAAAATGGAGAGAGGAATAAGAATAACCAAAGGTGGTGAAACCATGTCGAAACACAACCATTTTCCTGTAGGACAGAAAAATGCATTAATAAAACTTAAATCTATTGTGTTCAGACCAAACCCTCAATACACATTGTGCTAATAGGAGCGTGTCTGATAAAATATTTCCCAGCACAAATCATGCCTTTATTTCCCAGCACAAATCCAGAGCATTGAGGCTTTGTCACAGTATGTCTCTGCCTTTTCTCTCATTACCTGATTATCTTTCTAAGGAACCAAGATTTCCTGAATTCCTTCTATCTGTACTTCAAAGTGTCTTCACCTAATCACAATTTGTCATTGTCACAACTTCCAGGCTCAGGGAAAATAAGTCTTATTATATACATGCCGCAAATGTTAAGACCCACAACTCATATGACATATCCATTTTTGCTAGTATTGCAAGGTCCTATTTCAGCCTGTCAGCTTCCATTTAAACCGTAACACTTATGCTTCCCTTCTCTAATCACCACTGCCACTAAAATACATAATATATCTTGTGGGCGGCAGTGGAGCTGATCCAAATGGGCATTTTAATTTCCCCTGCTTACTTCAGAATCTAAATAATAAGGTACAGTATTCCTCTGTATTACAGACCAATTATGGAGTACAATGCTATCTCAAGGTTAGAAGCAAAAAACAGCACAAGGGCCTGGGATTTAGCTCAGTGGTTCTGCTGCCTGCCTCACAAGTGCAAGGTCCCAAGTTCAATCCCCGATACCAAAACAAAAACACCCCCACAAATTTGGGGCCTGGATTTAGCTCAGTGGTCCCACCGCCTGCCTCGCAAGCACAAGGACCCGAGTTCGATCCCTGGTACCAAAAAAAGAAAGAGAAACAGCACAAGTTACCTTTAAATTTTTCTTACACTGTTCAGAAAGTTCTGAATAAATGATTTTACACCCAATGTAGTAATTCATATATCCAATGAGATTTGAGAATCACTGTGCTAAGACCAAAAAGCAGGGAACAAAAAGAAAGACACTATGCAAATATCTGACTATTCAAGCCTTTCCATGTTTTACTTACTAAACAAATATTTAATGAGCACTAAGTTTATAGGCCCCAGGAGTACCATAAAGAAGATAAATTGTCATTATCCTCATAGAGCTTATATGATGTCAGACATAAATGCAATGAAGGAAATAAGGCAGGGAGAAGGAATAGAAAATGGTTGGGGGAGAATAGTACCCTGACAAGATGGTCAGGGAAGGAGATAGCACTTAAACAGAAGCAGAAGGAAGCAGAACACACATTGACTGTAGTTCCTACTCAAGATACAGGAATGGATTAGAACTTCTTTCATGGAAGGAGGTGGAGTATGGCAAATAGATGAGCTCAACCTCCACCTACTGCTCTGGGAGTATGAACTATAGTAATACAATCCGATGTTATTCTCTCTGCATGGAGTCTAGGGAATTGTTTTCTAAGGAAAAGGAGACAGATAGCTCTGTAGGTTTCCTACACTTTCAAAACCTTAAATTCCTCAATAAGAGGGGAACTAGTCAAACTTAACTAGGCCCTCTTGGGGCTGGATGTCTCTTCCATTAGCTGTCATGTCTGGAATTCTCTCAATCAACAGAATCCAAAGGCTGACTCTGCTCACCAATGCAGAGGCTGCTGGGAAGGCAGCCCACATAGCACCACAAGCCAGTGCCTACAGAAATGATGCACCTGCCTGCCCCGGCCCACAAAAGCTGGTTTTGTGACAGGAAATATGATACCTGAGGAAATCAGGCCAAGAAGATACCTCAAGCTGACTCACTTTATAAATAAAAAGTTAATTCAGATAAGATTCTCAATCTGCTCTTAGAACTAGGGTATTAAAAACAAATACAACACCATGACTTGTAGTTGAGGTTTAACGTCCATCTGACATTATACAAAGGAAAGAGAAGAAAGAGGAAGATGACACAGGCAGACCCACTGAAGAGCTCTGTGGCCACAGTCAACACTAATAACAGTGTGGAGTTAAGAGTCATGGAAAATTCCACCCAAACCCAGGATTTCCCCAATCCTAGCAGGCAATACAAGCTGCCTGTAAAAACGGTTGCCCACATTTCATAAGAGGCTGAGATAACTGGCCAATGCTTAGAAATACAAAACAAAAAAATATGACAGTGCTTAAACTAACTCCTTATCACCCAAAATGTATTCTACTGAACAAAAACGCCATCTCCCAGCACTTCAGGGAATGTTCTCAATCTCTGCTGCATGTTATAATCATTTGGGGAGCTTTTGAAAACAATGATGCTGTATTTCGTATGTATCCTTTCCTTTAATTCTCACACCACACAGTTATGGAAACTGAGGCAGAGTGGAGCTAAGTGATTTGCCTATGGTTGTAATACTATTAGGTCCTAGATCAGAAACCAGGTCATATTAATGTTCTTGCTATAAAAACTGACCTTTTGAGATAGGTTAACTAACATTTCAGAGGGTATGAATTTAGCTATATCTAAACTGTTTGGGAACTAAGGAAATGAGATTCTATCTGCTGGATATTAATTAAGTCCATCACAAATCTTTGATACCGGCACTAAAGAATAAATATCTAGGGCCAGGGATTTAGCTCAGTGGTTTCGCTGCCTGCTGCACAAGTGCAAGGACCCGAGTTCGATCCCCAGTACCAAAAAAAAAAAAAAAAAAAAAAAAAAATATCTAAAAAAAAAAAAGAAAACCACTTTGCTTGCTCAGATCAGTATTTAGAAAATTTCTGAATTTAATTTTACATATCTTTTTGGTTTTTTTTTTTGGAGACAGGGTCTCACTATCTAGATTGTCCTCTCGAATTCCTGACCTCAAGTGATCCTCCTGAGTAGATGCACTATTTGTAATATTTCAAGTCAAGAATAAGAAAAAAGAAAAAAAAAACTCCACTCAAATAAAACTCCACCAAATCAGTTTTTTAAAGTTCCTTAGGAGGGCCGGGGATTTAGCTCAGTGGTTTCGCCACCTGCCGTGCAGGCGCAAGGACCCAAGTTCCATCCCCGATACAAAAAAAAAACCCAACAAATTCCTTGGGAAACAGTCCAGGATAGTTCATTTGGAATTTCTGAAGGAATTTTCTCTCTAACCAGCTGAGCTCTGTGCCTGCCCTTCTGACTGCATCCTGACTTAAAAATTTCCCTTTAAAACTGATAAACATGTAGAGGATTGGAAGGAGAAAAAAAAATCCACTGTGAATTGATGGAAGTGGGTGGAGGAAGAGATCATATTCTAATCAATCTATTACTTCATGTGTAAAAGGAACTAAATGTACCCTTATTTGCCCAAACTGTGCCACATGTCTTCATAACCTGAAGGCCAACCAAAAACCCAGCCATCTGAGATGCTTCAAACTACAGAGGCAGCTATGGCGTAGTAGTATATTTCAGAGAACTACAAAGCCAGAATGGATCCAGTCCTACATTTAAATCCGTTCTGCATTTTAAAGATAAGAAAACTAAATCCCAGAGAGCTTAATAACCCACAGCAAATCACTGACAGAACTGGAAGGGGGAGCCCAGGATTCCTGAGTCCCATTATACCAAACTGCTTCAATAAAGTATTAAGGACGAAACCAACAAAGCAGCCTAGAGGACCCTCAGTAATTCCACAATCATTTACTACGGCCATGCTCCACACTAGGCTCTGAGGACAGAGTGGGTTGGTGGCAAACCAAAATGGTAGCAAAGTGCACCCTGGCAGAGATATGCCCAGGCACTTTTACACTACAAACACTCCCTGGCCATTGATCATAAGCTCAGCTCTTGGTTACCAGAATTCTCCAAGCATAAAAATATACTCTCACCACTGAAAAGGCTCTACCCAGCTCTCTCAAATCCTGCTTTGTTCTTTTGTTCCACAGTCGGATGTAAGAACAGGGAACAAAGGCATGGGTTACTTCCTGGTGACACACAGATGGAGCAGTCTCAGCCTCCCTGCTGGAATGGGGAAGTTAGGCTATGACTGCTCTGTGATCTACTGTCCCTCAAGCCAGGGCCATGAGAGGAGTGACCTCTGCCAGTGGGCTCCTTATCAAACAGCAGAAATGTAGGTGTCTTGTCCTGGCTCTGCTAAGGGACCTCTGTAAAATCCTACCATCCATTCTAATGGTACAAACACTTTCAAGGGCAGCAATGTTGTTAGATGCTACTAGAATATAGGGGGTGTGGTATTACACAGGGTTGAATTTTAATTCTAATACACCATCAATTAGTAGAGTGGCTCCATGCCAAGCGACCTTACAAACCCTAAGATCATTCCCCCACTTGTAAAATGAAGATGATAGTCCTTGCCTCAAGGTGTTAAGAATTAAAGAGATAATGTAAGTGTCCTGAGCAGTAGCTCACAAATACATGTTCAACAAACACTATTTTCTCCTTCCTTTGTGAGACAGTTAAAAATGTATTCAAGGGCTGGGGATTTAGCTCAGTGGTTTGACCGCCTGCCTCACAAGCGCAAGGACCCAAGTTCGATTCCTAGTACCAAAAAAAAAAAAATGTATTCAAGCCATGAAATGAAAGACAAGCTATTTACTTTACAAAGGAGTTTCTCTCGTAGCAGTGTGTCACTCTGTCTTTACCTCCTCTCCCATACTTACCCACTCTGCAACAGGCAGATTTCTAAAATATTCCCCCCAGCTTCCTACCCCCTAGTGTACAGACCCACATAAACCTCTGGAACAGTGAAGCCTATGATTAAACTGTGTTATGCTATAAATCAAGCTTTACCAAAGGGAGACAATCCTCAGTGGACCTACCCTAATCAGGTGTGATCTTAAAAGGGACAGGGCTCTGCCTGCCAAAAGACATACAGAGAGTGTGCACTGGTTATAATTTATTGCCTCTCAGCTCCAAATGCACCCCTCAGTATGTGCTTGGGGAGAAACAACTGAATTCTCCATGTTCAGCCTTCTCAGTAGAGGGAACTGGAGGGATGTTGCAGATGTGAGGCTC